GGTTAACATACATACATACAACACACAGCACACAAATATAAATTATATAAGAGATATATATATATATATATATATTGTGTGTGTGTGTGTGTGTGTGTGTGTGTGTGTGTGTGTGGTGTGTGTGTGTATATATATATATAATAATATATATATTATATATATATATAATATAATGCTCTGGCCGCCTATTTCACGAATTTAGAATTTTAGACATAAACCCAATTTGTGGCAGTGAAAATATGAGTACTTATACCATAAAGCGGATAGTACTCTGCCCACGAAGACCTTATGCTCCACACAGGGTCAGGTGGCTATCAAAGAGGCCAACGTTGTCGAGAGTGCGTGACCTGAGACAGGAAATACTAATTTCCATTTCGTTTTTTGTCTGAAGAGGATCGAGAAAGAGTTCGAACGTCACGCTTATTCCCAATTCTCATTGTGGCTAGTTTCATTTTCATTTTTGTGTTCACGGTGATTGTGTTTGTGCTTGTGTTTCAAATACTATTTTTATTCTTAGGGTAAACCTGAATTTTGGTGAACCTACTGGCTGATAAATTTGGAGGAAAGTGCATGCTACTTGGAGGGTTGGTCAGGCAGTGTTGACGTGTGATTGCCATGCATGAAGGGGGATTAACGGTTCAGTGGAAGCCATGTCAGTGTCTGTTACAATGTTAGGTCGGTGTGCATGATAGAAAAAGTGTGTATTTGAAATTAACATTATAAATCTATTACATGAATATCTCTCAAATTTTGAAAATCTGTCTTCATCTATTACATGAATCTCTCTCAAATTTTGAAAATCTGTTCTTCATCTATTACACGAATATCTCTCAAATTTTGAAAATCTGTCTTCATCTATTATAATGAAATCTCTCTCAAATTTCCGAGAATCTGTCTTCATCTAACTATTACTGAATCTCTCAAATTTTGAAAATCTGTCTTATCTATTACATATCGCTCTCAAATTTGAAAATCTGTCTTCATATTCTATTAATATCTCTCAAATTTTGAAAGATCTTCTCATCTATTACATGAATATCTCTCAAATTTTGAAAATCTGTCTTCATCTATTACATGAATCTCTCTCAAATTTTGAAAATCTGTCTTCATCTATTACATGAATCTCTCTCAAATTTTGAAAAATCTCTTCAATCTTACATGAATCTCCTCTCAAAACTTTTGAAAATTTCTTGTCTTCATCTATTACATGAATCTCTCTCAAATTTGAAAAAATCTGTCTTCATCTATTACATGAATCTCTCTCAAATTTTGAAAATCTGTCTTCATCTATTACATGAATCTCTCTCAAATTTTGAAAATCTGTCTTCATCCTCGAGGTGTCACATGAAATCTCTCTCAAATTTTGAAAATCTGTCTTCATCTATTACATGAATATCTCTCAAATTTTGAAAATCTGTCTTCAATTTACAATGAATATCGTCTCAAATTTTAATAATCTGTCTTTCATCCTATTACATGAACTCTCTCAATTTTGAAAAATCTGTCCTTCATGCTAATTACATGAATCTCTCTCAAATTTTGAAAATCTGTCTTCATCTATTAACATGAATCTCTCTAAAATTTTTGAAAAATCTCTGTTCTTCATCTATTACATGGAATCTCTCTCCAATTTTTGAAAAAATCTGTCTTCACTATTACAATGAATCTCTCCTCAAATTGAAATCTGTCTTCATCTATTACATGAATACTCTCTCAAATTTTGAAAATCTGTCTTCATCTATTACATGAATCTCTCTCAAATTTTGAAAATCTGTCTTCATCTATTACATGAATCTCTCTCAATTTTGAAAATCTGTCTTATCTATTATACTCTCAAAATTTTTGAAAATATCTCATGAAAAATTTTGAAAATCTGTCTTCAATCTTTATAATTGAATCTCTCTCAAATTTCGAAAATCTGTCTTCATCTATTACATGAAATCAAATTTCGAAAAATCTGTTCTTCATATACAATAATCTCTCTCAAATTTTGAAAATATGTCTTCATCTTTACATGAATCTCTTCTCAAATTTGAAATCTGTCTTCATCTATTAATGAAATCTTCTCTCAAATTTTGAAAAATCTGTCTTCATCTATTACAGAATATCTGCTCAAATTTTGAAAATCTTTCTTCAATCTATTACATGAATCTCTCAAATTTTGAAAATCTTGTCTCATCTATTACATGAATATCTCCAAATTTTGAAAATCTGTCTTCATCTATTACATGAATCTCTCCAAATTTTGAAATCTGTTCCTTCATCTATTACCATGAANTGATAGAGGAGAGAGGATGAGAGAGGTAGAGGCGAGAGGAGAAGAGAAAGAGAAAAAGAAACAGAGAGACGAGAGAAGAGAGAGAGATGAGAGAGGAGAAGAAGAGTATGAGAGAGAGAGAGATGGAGAATGATGATCAGAGGAGATGATGGAGAGAGATGTAGAGAGAGACGAGATGAGTTGTGAGATATCTATATATAGTGAAGAGAGGAGAGAGAGAGAGAGAGTGAGATGGGTTAAGAGAATGAGAGAGAGTGAGAGCAGAGAGAGAGAGAGTTGAGAGAAGAGAGCGAGATGAGGAGAGGGAGAAGAGAGAGTACGAGAGAGAGAATGAGAGAGAGAGAAGAAAAATAGAATTAAGAGAGAGAGGGATGGAGAGAGAGAGAGAGAGAGAAGAGGAGAGAGAGAGAGAGAGAGAGAGAGAGAGAGAGAGAGAGTGAGAGAGAGAGAGAGAAAAAGAGAAAAATAAACAGAGAGAAAGAGAGAAGAGAAAAAAGAAACAGAGAGAGAAAGAGAAAGAGAGGGAAGAGAAAAAAACAAAGAAAAGAGAGGGAAAGAGAAAAAAGAAACAGAGAGAGACAGACAGACATAGAGAGAGAGAAAAAGAGAAAAAGAAACAAAGAAAGATAGGGAAGAGAAAAAGAAACAGTGAAGAGAAAAGAGAAAAAGAAACAGAGAGAAAGAGAGAAGAGAAAAAGAAACAGAGAGAGAAAGAGAAAGAGAGAGCATGGAAGCAGACAAACAACGCACAGAGCAAAATAGCCACAAATATTATCCGTTCAAATATATTCAAATATCAACTTTATACCTACTTCGACTCGCATAAAATTAATACAAATATACCTTTTTTTCGTTGAAAGATCTCAGACTTGACACTCCCCAAGATGCCACTGAAATATACGAAAGGGAGAACACGCAAAAGTTGGAAAAGTGGCAGAGTGAATTGTGCAATGACATTGATCTGCCTGAATATTCGCAGACACTGACCTTCCCGATGCTTGCCAGGTAATTCGAATAGCATTTTATTCTGTATTCTGAGTGTGAGATTCTGCTACATGATTATATAAAAAAAAAAAACTTTAAATCATTCTCACTTTTGATTTTATTATTATTTTCATTCTATCGTTCTCACCATCAGTGTAATAAGCATCTTTACTGTTATTGTTTTTTATCATTATTCGTTATTTTTTTTTTTTTTTTTCTGATAAGGTCATAGGAGAAATCAAGGATAAGCGAGTAGCGAAAGAGACCTGATAATGCAATGATGATAATAATAATGATAATGGAAATAATGATAATGATAATGATATAGAGGATAATAATATTGTTAATGATGATAATGATAATGATATAGATGATAATGATAATATTAGGATGATAATTTATATATGAGATAATGATAAAAGATAAATATGATAATGATAATGATAATAATGATAAGGATAATAACGATAATGATAATGATATATGATAATGATAATAATGATAGGATAATAAATAATGATATGATAATAATGATTTAAAAAAAATAATGATAATAATGATAATGATAAAAAATGATAATGATATAGATGATAATAATAGAGATGACAATAGTAATGATAATAATATTAATTATAACTTAAAAATGATAACAAAAGTACTCTGCACTAGTTTTCATTTAAAAAAAAACTATTTCGCTGTAACTTATTTAACAACATTACTATACACTCAAGCCAGACTTCAGCCAAATCAAGTGAAAGTGTAGTACAATTTGGGCACAATATGTCAACACTGAATATATATAAAACATCAAAAACATTAACAATAACAATTAAAACATTAAAACAATAACAATTAAAATAAAATAAAATCATATAATCTATTTTGATTTATTTTTGCAACAGTTATTCCCAGTGACATATATAGTACTGCCGCACCTGGGGACTGTTAAGTGTAATTTGCAATTGTAATATTTTAAAAGATAAATGTGTAATTATGTGCCATATTATACCCGGTATATCATGTTTGATTGAGATATCAAATGAATACTTGTGTAAGTTACGGCAGGTTGCCTCTGCTATACTAGCAGTGCACTAATAAAGATACTTGATAGTACACTAATAAAGACACTTGGTAGTACACTAATAAAGACACTTGGTAGTACACTAATAAAGATACTTGTTAGTACACTAATAAAGTTACTTGATAGTACACTAATAAAAATACTTGGTAGACACTACACTAATAAAGGTACACTTACTTGGTAGTTACACTAATAAAGATATTGGTAGATACATAATAAAGTTACTTTTAATTACACTAATAAAGTAATACACTAATAAAGATACTTGGTAGACACTAATAAAGATACTTGTAGTACACTAATAAAGATACTTGGTAGTACACTAATAAAGATACTTGGTAGTACACTAATGAAGATACTTGATAGTACACTAGTAGAGATACTTGATAGTACACCAGCAGACATACTAGATAGTACACTAGTAAAAATACAAGATAGTGCACTAGTAGAATGCCTTGACAGAAGTCCTAGCTCTCTGGGGGTCCAGCCAGGATTTTCTTGCATAATTACAGCATGTGTGTACAGATTTACGGTAGAAAAAGAAGCATTTAAATTCACCACCAATGCCATCATTATTATCCACACCGTAATTTTTTTTTTTTTTTTTTTTTTTTTTTTTTTTTTTTTTTTTTTTTTTTTTTTTTTTTACTCAGGGAC